CACCTGCAGACGCATCTAGTTAAAAGTCCCTTTTCCAACTAGTAATCTAGATGGAAACTAGTCGTAGATCGCCCGATTACAGACGAAATGTATCTAGATTTATCGCATAGGTGATATTTGCTTGGGAAATGAACAGAAGAGAAAAGATCTTATCAGTGCGCGGCATGAGATGTTAAAAACCCACGTGATTTCAGACTTTTAATTTTTCTTAAGTGTCTAGATTTGCCAGACTATTAGAGCTAAAGACATCTGACATAGATAGACAAATTACTTTCAAAGAAAAAGTATCAAAAGTAGAACTCAAAAGGAATGAGAGATAAAGAGCACAACACTAACGTATACACTTAAATCTTGAAAATATTCGCACTTACATTTACCCAAGAATGTAAAACAAAACGATGATTGAAGAAGAATCTTGGAAATTATTGATAGAAAATCAATCAGTTTTCAAGCATTCTGAAAATCAACATTTTCTATAAAGTTGGAAAACCAGTGAGGATTTTCTATAAATTCGAAAATAATTCAAGATTACAGTGTAGCTCTAAGTCTGTTTCTATTTGCTGTGTGGCGATAAAATAGCTATTCTCGATGTATTTTCCAGAAACCACCAAGATTTCGAAAACTTTCTCAAAAATTTTCATGTGTTCTTTAAATTTTCCCCAAAATCGTTTCTTCACTTCAGTTTTTTGATTTTCGAAAGAAAATTTATAATAACAATTTTTCAGATGTTGTGGCTAACAATACCAAAAGCTTCGAAAGGATACAACAAACAGCCGTTACAAATAATAACATTTCATCTAAAGTACATACACAAATTGGTCTTTATGTATCAGAAAAATGTTCTATAACATTTGAAAAACATCACCAATACAATGCAATTTATAAAATGGAAATGATAAAGTTATCAAGTTTAATACCGACAAAAAGACATATTACAGCCATATGTAATATACGAGACTGGCAAGAATCACAAGCGAAAACTATACTATCACCATCGTTAAAAGATCCGTATTTTCAAAAACCAGAACCTTGTCATTATAATCAGGTCACAACATCAAAATATTTCAATCAACAACAAGTAAAAGCTATACAAATTGCTGTAGATATGTTTGATGATGTGTATGAGCGTCTTCATTTAATTCACGGTCCACCTGGTAAGATATATATCTCACATCCTCATGATGCTTTTATGTATACTTCTGTTTTACTTTAGGCACAGGTAAGAGTAAGACAATAGCCGGTATCGTTGAAAATTTATTACCACTTCTAAATGAAAATCAAAAGATTCTCTTATGTGCGCCATCAAACAATGCATGCAATGAATTATTGAAAAAAATTCTAGAACACATTGGTGATAAAAACAATTCTGGTAAGAAAAATAAATTTTTGTTATGTACTGCAACATAAGTCAAAAATAGATTAATACTCATGTTTAGTTGTACTCAAACGTTCTTAAATCAATCAATTCTTTTTATATTTTTAGCAGGAAAAGTTATCCGTGTTGGTTGTCAACCACCAGAAGATAAACATCTTTGTGACTATTATTTGGACTATATGGTAATAGAAAAATTGGCTAATAAACTTATTAATCGAGAAAAGTTACATCGTTCTACAATTGGAAAAACAATTCAACATAAATTATTGAGAAAAGCAAAAGTTATTATTTCAACATTAAATTATAGTGCATCATCTAGATTAAGATTATTGTATGAAAATAAAACGAATGTATCGTTTTTGATTGTTGATGAAGCATGTCAAGCTTCAGAGGGTAAATATTAATAATTCTCTTTTACAAATACATTTCTAATAATGTACAAGTATTTGCTACTTTAATCATAGTTGATAGAAAGGCTAAAGCATTAGATTTCTAGGTTTCTTATTATGACGAGTAGAATGAAGTCATTTTCATGCAATTCTAAATACCAACTTATGATGATTTTTCTTGATCCGCCGATGAAAATCTTCTTTATACATGTACTAACACCAATACTCTGGGTCAGTAATGGCCTTGCAGCAAGTCTTACCTTGTAGTCTTAGAAATTGTCTTTTTGTTACGTATAAAGCAATTCTGCTTCCTTTTGTTCACACGAGATCATCTACATTAAACTTTTTGGTTTTCTTTATAGATTTTAGATTCTGTTTTGTATCTTTGACAAAATAGTAAAAACGTGTAGGTCTCTTTCTACAGCCTAAGCAAAGTGATTCTTGAGACTAGACATTTTGTAACGTAGAGGGCATTTCAAACTGGATATAAGTTTTTTCTATTGAGAAAAATATTGTTTAACTTTCTATAATGAATTTTTCAAAAATTTTTGATCGTTGAAAAATCTGCCTGTTCACGTACTTTTCATCTCACTTGTTCGGCTTATATGATGTCTTTCTTACAAGATAAAAAGAGTGATATATTTGTTTGAAATATTCTATAAGCGGTAAAAGTTTTAGTCTAAAGAGTTGCTTCAGAGTAACCAGTATGTTTGGCATTTCTGACCATTGTGGCTTCTATATTTTCTAAAAGCTCATGCTAGCAGAACTTGTTCATAAAACGTTGAGATCGATGTTTTTTGTTGGTGTTTGTTGAAATGTTTCTTAGAAACCGTTCAGGAGGATTGTTAGGATGGAGTAGATTCTTTCGATAAATGAAATGGAGTATAATCTCATATAAAGTTTGATGACAGAAGTTAAATGAGGATGAAGTTTTAGAAAACAAGATATTATGATTACTTTCACTTCGTATATTTATGTTTAATAGCTAAACGTTTCGGAGTATACGCCAGAGACAGGATGATCCAGGTCAGGCCCAGGTCATATGTCGAGACCTGATCTAGCAAAAGCGGACTTGGACCTGCAAGATCTGAACCTGAACAAGGGGACCTGTACTTTGACCTGAACCTGTACCTGTGACCTAAATTCTTATATCAAGTCTTATTCAAAATATCTATCACGTGCTTCTCACATATTCTAAGAACTGTTCTTAAACTCTAGTACAGGATATTGTAAATTCACACTACTCTCAGAATTTTTTCATGTAATGAACCCAGCGCCCAGTTCACAAGTTCAGGTCAGGTCCAATTCTAGGTCTATTTTTTCAAGTGCAGGTCTGCAGGTTCAGGTTCAACTTTATAGGTCAGGATCACACGAGGCAAAAATGATTCATTAGATTGAATAACAATAAGCCACCTTAAAGTTAAACTTTCTAGTTTTTTCTACAAATTTTGACCTTGACTCGTGCAGGTCACAAGTCAAGGTCTAGGTATTCTGTCTCTGATATACGCTATCCTTTCTTCAGTAGCAAATAGAAAATTAAATTATTAAATTATTGTTACTGAGAAGAGATAGCGTATACTCCGAACATTTAGCTATTAAACATAAATATACGAAGTGAAAGTAATCATAATACCTTGTTTTCTAAAATTCATCTGACTTTGTACCAGCGAAAATAATGAGTTCTAAGTATAGGATGGAGAAAATGCGCTAAATATTTTATATAGACGCTTTTGTCACATCTTCTTGAATATGGAAGTAGCAGCGATTATTGACTGATGCGGCGAGTTGGCATACATGTCTGATATCACTCCATGCGTTGAGATAATCCAATAGTTTTTGCTCTTTTATCTAGATATTCTAAGTGGAGCATCGGGTTACAAAGCAGTAAATATCAGATTCATCCGATTCGTGATGACATCTTTCTATTTTGCATAGAGATGCAACCAATGGGTGTTTCTTGAGGCATTGAACTTAGATGTATTGATCATAGTAGTAGATAATTCGATGTTTCACCTAGCTAAAAGAGTAAAATACGTCGAATGATGCATCAACATCTACTTTAAATCAAGCATTTTCACTACGATTCTTAGCTCGTTTGAAAATACACTTCAAAGAATAGAATTTCAAGTTTTTTAGTTAATGTAATTTATCAATATCTTGTATAGTTCCTCCTTGTAAGGCTTAATTTGATTGTAGTATACATATGGTATAATCCATTTATTTTCTTTTAGTTGAAGTATTAATACCATTTCGCTATGGTTGTAGAAAAGTTTTATTAGTTGGTGATCCTCATCAATTAGCACCATGTGTATTATCAAAGATGGCCAAAGAGTATAAATTGGATCAATCGTTGTATTGTCGTTTGAATAAAATATTTGAACAGTCATCAGATTTACCTAAACCGATTACTATGTTAAATGTCCAATATCGTATGGCCGCTGAGATAGCATTATTTCCTAATAAATGTTTTTATGATAACAAATTAATTAATAGCGACGGTAATTCTACACATCAATATTCATTATTAAAACCATTATATTACTTTGATATACAATCTACAGAACATAATTATGATTGCTCTAAATCAGCATTTAATGAAAATGAAGTTGATATACTAGCAAACTTTTGTAGTAAACTAATTTCATTTCTTTCCCTATTCAATACATCAGATCCGAATTTTTCGGTTTCAATTCAACAACGTATTGGTATAATAACACCCTATAAAGGTCAAACTAATTTATTAAAACAAAGATTTGAAAGTAAAAATATGAATTATATTGACATTGGTACTGTTGATTGTTATCAAGGAAAAGAGAAGGACATTATTCTAATATCATGTGTACGTACGAGAAATATTGGCTTTTTTAACAATAAAAATCGTCTTAATGTCATGCTAACACGTGCTAAATATGTTCAGTATATATTTGGTCATTTAACACATCTGAGTCAATATCCTTATTGGAACGAAATATACAATGACGCAATACGCAGAGATTTAACAAAGAAAATTTACTCAACAAAGGATACAATATTAAAGGATTCAGTCGAAATGCTTCAGACTGTTATTATGAAATGAAAAAATAATAGATTAGAATACTTGTTTTGTTACTTTTATATATGAATAATAAATAATAAAAGATACTCTATATACAACATTTCAAGAGTTATTGAATGATTTGAAACAAAATATTCAAGAGTATAAAACCCATGAAAGAAATATGTAGGTGAAGTTAGCACGAGATTCGAGTAACAGTTGTCCGTATTCGTCTAGAGACCTGTTCCAAAGATGAATCTGTAAAACAAGACGAACACGAATGAATGGAATGATGAAACTAACTCGTATCGTAGTGTTTATATACAATTTTGAATGGAAGAAAAAAACATTTGTAATAGGATTATTGAGCGTATCAAATTGTAGTAGAAAAAAAACTGTGAAGAAATTAAGTTTAAGGGATTATCATCACAGGAGGCTATTATTGCAAGAAGAAGAGAATTTCTCTTTTCTCAATCAAATCAAAACCAAGTGATACTTTTCGTGATTAAATGGCTATAAACAAACTAGAGTGAAAAATGACTGTATTCTATCAACTTTTTTTTGGAAGATTACAGTTCCGAATGAGACAATTCGAAACTCAATTTATCAATTTGAAATAGAAATAATTATTCGAAATCACTATCCACTATATACAGCTAATAAATAGTATGAAAAATATTCTAATCATCACTGTGACGAATGTTTGAAATAAGTGCGTCAACGAAAAGTTTGCAATACCATTGAAAAACAAAATATTAATGTGTCAGGATCATCGGGATGAAAAATTAAAATATTAGTGTTCAAAATGCGATGTCTTACTCTGTCTTTCTTTCAAACAGGAAGAGCATCAGGTTGCTCTCATCCAAGACTTGGTTAATGAAATTCAAATAAAAATAACTTCATCTTTACACGATAACAGAAAAATCAAACAAGAAGTGCAACAATAAGATCGATAGTAATAGTTAAATAATCAACAGCATTCAGATTTCGAAAGTGTACAATTTTATTCAACAAATTTTTACATCATTGCGTTAGATGCTAAATGACCGAGAAACAATTTTATGCACTCAATTAGATAAGAATAGAACTACATAATTAGCCATCATTATTAGATCTAAATCATAATGATTCAGTTCCTATGTATAGAACGAGAATCCAGGACAACACAATTCGGGCACAACGTGTTTACTAAATGAGATCTCAGAGGACATCTTGGAATTTAACTTTGAAATAAAAATTGATCGGTTAAATATAATGAACGATTTTAAAAGCAAGTATCAATTTGTTTTCTTCAAAATTTTCCAGTATATCCATTAATGCGAGTGCTGTTAATCTCACGTAACCGTTGGCTGAAAGGGCAAATATATGACCAACTGTTAAACGATATTCGTTTTTTGTTGATATCGTTTCATGTTTGACGCGGTCAGTACCATAAAATATGTAATCATTTATAGTTGTTTGATTCCGTTGAGCGTTGTTAAGATAATTTAGAAAATTTTTACCATGATACAAAATAAAAAGTAAAACAAAACATTACTCGGTGAATCATTTTATTTAATTACTCTAGTGAATGTACTTGATGTAAGTGCTTGATGACGTGGTAGGTGCTTGGGTAAATAGTAAATACTTGAAATTTTACTTGACAAGTATTTGAACCATTTGTGAAGCATCACACAAGTCCTTACGTGTTAATTGTCTAAGTACTCGAACAAGTACTTGACAAGTGTGGTAAGTACTTACAAGTAAATTTACTTGTGGGAAGAAAGCAAGTACCTGCTTCATTACGCAAAAGCGAAGTACTTGCACACAAGTGCATACACCAGGGTGGTATCGCCTTCTTTTGCTTTTTATCGAAATTATCAAGGCGGAGTTTTAGAGATGAAGGTGTTGTTCCATATTTCATCGATCTAGACTATTAACGTCAAAATTATGTTTGATTCTCAAGTGAGTGCTGCCTCTTTAATTTTCAGTCACAGATCTATAAGCATCATAAGACAGGTATGGTCTATAACCGAAGAACTGAGCCACGAGGCAAGTGAGTCGCATATTACTTGTTATCAAATGTTCTACTAACTGGTGTTATCAATATGACATATGAGTGAATCGTATTTTAGTTGTACAATTTGTGGGAAAAAAATGAAAGTAACTTTATCAAAAATCTGAGTCGACCAGATTGTTCCCCTTAATTTTCTGAGTACCATGTAAAAATTTCCAAACTACCAAAGGTCTACCGGCTGAGATAATAGAGGTGCAAT